GGCTCTGGAGGCCGGCAAGCCCAAGTGTTACAGAGTTCTGGGGGCTTTAGGATCTTCCCAGAGATTCTTTCCAGGTTCTTGTCCTAAACAGGGAATTGGTCAAGACAAGCACAAAAAGTAGTGAAGTTTTACATTTGTTAAAGGTAGGAAAAGAAACGTTCTGTGTCATTGAAGAGAGATCACAGTGGCTGTGAGGTTAATGATGGCTGCCCTTTGCTTTCCTGGCTCTCATTCTAAAGTCAGACTAGGCCATCCTATCGAAGCCCTCCTTGATTTTGTGCCAGAGAAACTGAAAGTAGCACTTTCTGATTGGTCCTGTGTGCTGAACTTGGGAACTGTTTCTCCAGCACGCGCCTTGGGGCTCTGTGATTGACAGGTCAGGCCCACTCGCCCAGCAGGCTGACCACACCATAATGTGCCTCAGAAAAGCCTGGCACCAATGTGTGTTGGGGGCCTTCTTGTATCACAGTATGGCATGGAGCTTCAAGCGACCAGACGGAGCAAGTGTGTTAGCTCAGATTTTTCTTGTCTTATTGTCTCAGTTACTTTTTACTCGTTGCTGGGAAAAATACCTGATGCTCAAAATGAAGGAAGGAAAGGTTTATTTAGCTCACAGTTACTGGAGGCTTCAATCCATATTCAACTGGCGCCAAGGCAGAGTGGTACACGGCAGATGGCAACCTTTCGTGGTGGCAGCAAAGAGCAAGAGCACAAAATGAGTAGCAGCAGCTCAAGCAGCGGGCTTCTCTTTCTCCTTACATTGAAATGCAGATTACCTGCCCCAGGGCGGGTGCAGCATCCACACCCACAATAATGAATCACAAACTCCAAAGCCACCCCAAGACTGCATGAGGTGTTGGGGGGACACCTATGCAGAAACCATAGCACTTATAAAAGCAATAGTGCCATTTGGGGACCCCCTCCTTACCTCTCAAAAGCCCTACATCCAAGTATCAACATGTATATCCAAGGGTTAGGTTTTTCTAACACATGAATATTTGGGGGACATATCTAAACCTTAGCACCTCTTAATAACTCTCCATCTATCAGCCCCTGCCCCACACCACCACCCTGTGCTCAGCTGGAAACCCCCGTTTCTTCCGTGCTGTAGAATTCATCTAGTCTCTCTCCTCTGCTGCAAAACCATGAAGGAATCCTCCCTGGACCAAGTCTGCCTTGCTATTCTCTGACAGGTGTTAGAGGAGTTTTTCAGGACCAGGCCAAAGGCGGCCTCGCAGCCCCAGACGCAGCCTCTGGGCGTGGGTCCTGGGCACGGTGCAGCAGCTGACCCTGCATCAGGAGCTCATGGGGAGGTTGTAGGAACTGGGCCAGCTGGAGGCTCAGCGCAAGCTGCAAGCACTGCTGTGCTGCTGCTGTGACTGTCTCAGTGCTATCTGGGTTCTCCAACACCATGACTGGCTGGCTGATGGGTTTGTGGGACAGTTCAGATCTCAGTGGGCTCAGGAGTTGGTCATTCTAGAAAAGCTTCCGGGGAAACATGAGCCGGAAGCCCCTGCTAGACCGTCGTGCATTTAGAGTTAAACTCACTACTGTCCACGGGTCTAAAAGAAGTAGACCTGGCGCATTCTGAGCCTGTAGTGCCCTGCGCTGTGTTCCAAGTGCTGAGGCTCAGCACCTGCAGAAGCTTCCCCACTCTGTCCGTTATCCTGTCAGGTGCAAGTAGGTGGCTTCAGGTCTGATGTGCACAGGTTTTTCCACTGAGCCATCTCCCTGGCCACTATGTGCACAGGTTTTTGGCCTGAGGATGCACAGCATGAAAAGCAAACAACATTGGAAAGCTGAGACAGGAGAATCATGAGTTCAGTGCCAGCCTGAGCCACATAAACAAGGTTCATAACAAAACACCAAACTAGGGGCTGGAGAGATGGCTCAGTGGTCTAAAGCGCCTACTTGGAACAAGCTTGGGGACTGTGGTTCGATCCCCCAGCACCACATGCCAGCCAGCCCCGCCCCCAGGTGGGCTGAGCTGGTCACACACACACAATAAATAAATGTAAAATAAATAAAAATATTTAATAAAAAAAAAAAAAAACACACACTAAACTAAACAAACAGCAAAAAACCCAACAGCAGAGGAAATAGCCTTTTAGTAATGTCATGCAGTGTCCGGCAAAGCCAACTGCGAGGCCACGCGCACCACACGGTTAGAGACCGCAATCCTTGCATTTGGATGTGGGGACTTGGGTGAGTCCAGGGAAGTCTAGCCTGTCCCAGAACCTGTCTTTGCGCCTTCAGGCTGTAGTTGGGATGGCCTCTGATCCCACAGTGCAGCACATGTCACCCTATCACAGACTCCTTTGTCTCCCGAGGAATTCCAGGCACATCCTGCAGTAGAAGCTGGGTGAGAGCACTGTGGAGGATCAGGGGAGGCCCGGGTCCTCAGGACGTGGGGCGCCCAGCCTGCCCCAGAGCTGGAGGGCCATCCCTGGCTGACACAGGTGGGAACCTTCCAGCCCCTGGCTGCCCTGAAGTCACCTACCGGAGGCCAGAGCAGCTCCACGGTGGGCTCAGGTGCCCTGAACACTTCGCTCCCTTGAACCTCCCAGCCCTTATCTCCAGTCTGCCCTCTGGGGTCCTGTAGAACAGATTGAATCATGCTCGAACGCAGCTCCTGTGTCACCGTGGGTTTTTCTGTCATTGCTCTTCCTGAATTACTGCTGCTGTGATCTAGCGCTGTCCTCTGGGTCTTCATTATAGCTGAAACTTTACAGATAAAGCCAAGTGAAAACCTCACTGAGGACATCAAAACCCCTCACCAGAAAACGGTCTTGCAAACTGTTCTGGGGCCAGGCAAGAAGGGGAACCTGTTCCTTCCTCCATGCTGTGCTTAATCTCATCGCAGGGCCTGAAGCAGAAGCCTGGGGGTCTTTCTGTTTTTGTTTTTTTGTTTTTTCCTGGGACCGGGGATTGAACTCAGATCCTTGCGTTTGCCAGTCAAGCGCTTATCCTACTGAGCCATCTTTCTGTTTGTGTGGCTGCTTATACCATTCAGGAAATAGGTGAGTCAGGGTAAATTTGAAATGTGAGTGGTGTAGTCCCACCTTATTCCTGGCGTTGCATTTCAAGACCACAGTAGGTGTCTGAAACCGCAGATCATACTGGATCCTATGTATTATACCTTTTAAAACACACATACCACAGGCTGGCAAGATAGCTCAGTGGACTAAGTGCCTGCTTAGGCAAGTGCAGGGACGAGGGTTTGATCCCAGGTACCACATGCTGTGCCAGCTCTGCCACCAGGCACACTGAGCCAGCCATGAGACCAGGCACAGTAGTGCACCCCTGTAGTCCCAGTGCTGGGGAGGCTAAACACAGGAGGATCACTACAAATCCGAGCTGCATAGTGAGGCCCTTTGCCAAATACATCATTTATGGAGTTAGGCACAGTAAGAGTAGTAACAGTAATGTAACATAGATCTTAGCAACCTCACCATATTTGTTTTCTGTATTCAATTGAGACTTTCACCTTTCAGGTTTTTTTTTTTTTT